CTGCTGAAGATATGTGAGAAGAAAAGGGAAAGAAATTTGGGAGCACGAGAAAGGGACTGAATGAGTATCTCCATGAGCAAAGGTAGTTGTGAATGCTGAAGATGTCCTGCTGGGTGGGCAGAAGGCCTCCCCTCCTGTCTCCTTTGGGAAGCGACAGAATCCACGTTCAAGCCTAGGCAACTCTGTGCGAGGGGCACAAGCGTATCTACAGGTTTAGTGAGGCTGATCTGCAGCCGATGCAGAAAGACAGGCTCCTCTACAGGACGTGTTTGAATGTTTTAAGGGTGAAATGTTGTGAGATGGCTCACCAGATGAACAGCTTATTGGTGCTGGGAAGGGGCAGTTCCCCCTCCACCTTACCTGCTGGATGTGTGGTCCCTCTCTTCTGCACAGGCTCTGGCACTCACCTGTGTGCCAGGTGCCTGAGTTCAGGTCTCTAAGAAGTGGAAAATAATCCCTTTTTCTTTTCTCCACCTCCTCAGGTTAATTCTCTCCTAGTATAATGAGGTGAATCAGCCAGCCAAGGAGGCAGCTGAGGGCCAGAGCCATAGCAAGGGAAGCGGTGGGGGATCATGGGACCAGAACAATGTGGAGAGCAGGGTGGCCCGTGCGGCAGCACAGATAGGAGAGCTCCTCTTCACCATCTCTGAACGTTTCCTCCGTTCAGCTCTTCTCTACTGAGTCCTGAGGGAGACTTTGATGACAGCTACTTGTCACTGCGAATTTACTATCAGCACATCTTTCATCAGTACCAAAGCCAGATGAGGTAAGAACTGTTTGAACTGGCAAGAAGGTGCCCATGTGAGCAAGACCAGAAGTAGGAGATTCTTATCTCTAAGTGAATTAACACAGACCATATCTACACTTGAGTCCCAGAGTCATGAAGCTGGTGTGGACACAGTCCAGGTAGCTCTAAACCAGCTGGCTCAGATGCTGATAGCAACAGGGCTACAGAACATGCTCTGGTCTGCAAAACCCAGCCAAGCCCTGAGTAAATATTTGTGCAGCTACCTGAGCACCATACAGTTATCAATATATCTGCTAATACTAGTTTGTGAGCTGCACTCAAAGCCCTGAGGCTGAAGTAGACATAACCTTGTAGAACAGCTTATGAAAAGAAGCTCTGTTGTATTTGTCCTTCATATTTTTTTTCATTTTCTTTTCCAAAGACTGTTTTGCAACAAGAAAACAAAAGAAACGGGAACCACTTCTACCAGCAAGAGAGTATGAAATGAAGAGCAGAGCTGGCTGTGATAAATGAGTCCTGAAGGATTCGTGGCTGTCTAATGCAGAACATACGCAGCGCGTCCCGTTTCAGTGAAGACCAGGAGGCCGACGCATGTCAGGAACTGAAGGCTGGCTTCTGTTCTGGGGAGGAGGAGGAGGAGGAGGCAAGCGCTGAACGGCAGTGAGGAAATCATGCCATGGTTATTTGCTTTTTAAGTAAAACATTACAGGTGAACGTACAACTGGCCTGACTTTCCATTCTGTTACTTTGAAATCAATGCAGTTACGTCAACAAAAAATGAATTGGACTTGAGGAAAACAAGGATGAGGAAATATCAAAAGAACTTATGTGTACATGGGCTAACAGGTAAACTAGGAGACTATCTTAAAAACTGGTTCCCTGGCCTATAAGAACTGATCTAAGTATACTTAAGGGTGTGAACGATCAAGAAAAGGAATCAGTTGGTAGAGCATAGGTAGAAAGCGACAAGATGAACGAGATCAAAGTTGAGTGTGGAAGCAGTCTTGGCTCTTCAAATGGAGCCAGAGTCTATATGACAGCCCTGGTGGAGTTTGTGTTCTCTTGTCAAGGAACAGACTTCAGAAGAAAGTATGTCTGAAAAAGCTTTGGCCATCTGAGGATGCAAGAGAAAACAGGTACTGAAATGGCAGAAAGAGTGCCAAGACAGATGGTCAGTGTGAGAGGACGGTTTTTGCAGAATTCCCTCCCTGCCGGCCCGTCTTTGACCTCTGCCTTCCAGTACCGCAGATCAACTTTCTATGTGCCGACATGCTTGTCCTGGAACTCTAAACAGTTATTCTGAGACAATATGATGAGTGCTGCTTTTATCGCTCTCTATACTTAATGTGCACGTTAAGGAGGACAAAAGCCAATTTATTTCTAACATCACTTCTCTCAGCGCCTCTAATGTTTCTGCTTCTGAATCAAAGGGAGGCATTCTACAGTAAGACACTAATAAATAGCTTTTCCTTGGGGGAAGAAGCATTTTCCCATCCTTAAGAAATTTCTTTGGCCATGTGAAATTCAAATTTGTTAACTTGCCCTACAAACAGCAACTCATTTAGAAACAAATTACAAGTATTAGATGGAGACAGTGAACTTGATAATGCAATGCTGCCACATCAGTTGTAGAATAATGCATCTTAATGAAGGCTTCCCATGTGAATAAACCATTATATTTACAAGCTTTTCACAGTTAATGACCCAGAACTGGATAACGAAACTCACATTTTTAGTGTGGTCCTCTGTCAGCAAAAGTATACATATTAATAATTGATGTTGCTGTAAAAATAGGACATAATATGAAGATTCCTGAGTTTGTGGGAAAATAGGACTACATGGTCCATTAACTTAAAATGCTTATCTAATGTTTGATGGGCTTTGTCTTTAAAATCCTTGTTTAAATTAATAAGGCAAAATGGACATTTGTCTAAAAGAGAATTTTATTCCAACTCATCAGTCACAAGTATGCTGATGAGAGAGCCGTTTGATTCTTCTGTTCTTTACTCCTTCTCCGCCTATCTTCCCCAAAGAGAATTTGGGCTTTATCAAAGTGGAAGACCCACCAGCGGAAGGAAGGAAGGAAGGAAGAAGTTG